ACCTGCGGGTGATTTCTGATGCTCAGAGCCGGCTGCGAGTTAGATACTTGAACAGTTCCCCCTTACTCCTTCGAGTGACATATCCTGATTGTACTCCTACGGGAAGTTTCCCCTGAATGCCAATGTGAAGTTTCATTACTTCGTGTAAACCTTGGTTCGTAATTCAGGTTGTGTGTGTGTGTTACTGGATCGTGTTTTCAGTAAGTTCTCAGATGGGTCTGCACTCCCTGCGTTCGGTGTGATAGTCGAGGGTGACGTCCACGGCGTATGTAGAGGCTTCGTTCCGAAGTGGGAAGTCCAGTCCGGGTACCCCCGCTAGTTCCTGGCGGAAGGGCAGTAAAAGCCGGAGTGGGAGGCACTACCTGCAGAACCTCTGAGTGAACTTGTGAGACACTTTCCTCCTGAAATCCGAAGCGGAGGTCCTGACCGACCTCCGAGTTGTGCTTTTTGCCAGTTTCAGGTGTGTGTGTGTGTGTGTTGAGTGACCACGCTGTACCGTGCATCCTCCGAGCATCCTCCGAGTCGAGATCCTCCTCCGAGTCGAGCCTCCGAGTCGAGCACTGCAGTATTTCTGGGAGTGACAGTCGCCTAGAATTCAAACTCTACAAAAGTCTGTTAAACGTGACACTTTTACTCTGTGTGTTGCCTCTGTCCCTGTGGGTTCGATCTTTTTACCACCATACTGCAGTTTTAGCCTTTGGTGGGTTATTACATTTATACACCGTGTTTCTGAGTTTGGGTAGAAGTCAGGGCAGCGATAGTGAAGAGGTCATTGCACCTGCATTGAGCTGGACCGGATCCGGGTCCACAAATGAAGCTTGAAGAGAAAGGCTATTTCAGACAGGAATCCCCATTGCCAAGTAAGCCTTTTGCTGAAGGATGTCACGCAATTTGAGTCCTGCCTGCATATACGACTCGAAGACCGTACGAGACAACCCAAATCCACTGGAGTCAGATGGTATATTCCAGGAAATTCAAGTTGTCTTCTGAGCCTTGGTATACATAACCCTGGCTAGAGTTTGTGTGAAATATTTCGGACTATTTGTGATTACTAGGCCACATAAAGAGCTTGAATCAGACCAAGGTAGTAGAAGGAGACCATATAGAGTGCTGTGCATTGAAACATATGGAAAAACATTAAGGTCATTTGACCGAGTTGGAAGGGTCAAATCCACTAGAGCTGTAAGCCTAAACCCCACTTGTATGTGCGGGCTTTTCTGCAAGATGGAATAATTGAAGGCAACTGGTTGTTATAGTTGTATTGTTAATCCATGCATATGACACATAGCTACAGGAAGAAACCTGTAGCGAATCTAGATGGCCTCTGGGGATATGTACTAACGCATGGTCGCATGTACTAACGACTGCACCGGAATTCAGGCTACAATATTGAGAAGGGTAAATGTGGAGATGTGGAGATGTGGAGATTTTATTATGTCACTGTGTAGATTTGCGTTTATCTAAACATGGTGCATGTGTAATGAGTATTTGATTTGACATTAACTTAAAGAGTGACATTGATATTGAAACTCAATAAATTTAAATCAAACCTTCATATCTTTGGCGAGTTTTTTTAAAAAACATTATATTGAATATTTCTTTTCTCACATGAATGGTGTACTTTGTAAGTTCCGTAATGTTATCTTTGCTTGTGCATTATGAGAAGCGGGCTTGATGTATAAAGGTTGTATAGAATGAAACTTATAATTAGAGAGAATGGAGACTAGTTGATCGTAAAATGTGGTAGTCTCCTGGTCGCTGCAGATATAACTTGGTACTGAAACAATAGACCAACATTCCTCGCATGATGATGGGATTAAGACTACTCCTAGTTGTGCAAAGATGTCAACTTTAGAAGAATGTTTATTGTTGGAGAAATTCGAGCTAGATTAAGAAGTTATACACGGATGTGGGCCAAGTTTATGAATCTAAAGTTCAAAGGTTAGGAAGAAAGTATAGATTAGCATGGTTCACTTCTGCATACATGTTTCAATATGGACCCATCAAAATGAAACATCTCTCACAAGGTGAAGAAAATCAAAGGTTAGATAATCAGTCAAAAGTCATGATGGACATATCAAGACATAATTTAGCACTTACTCTTAGCTGATTGTGATCCATAATGTACATGTGATTGTACAAAACATATGAATAGTGGATAGCTTTGTGCATTGACACATGCTTGAGAATTTGGATGAGATCTATACCAAGTATGTCTACGAGATGAAACAACGTATGAGACAAGAAAATTTGGTTTGGTTTAGATCCGCCCCGGAGGGCAGGAAGCCTTAGCCTCATGGCCGAAGCCAATTCCCGTCCTTGTCAAGGGTGTTGCTAACCTTCTCTCGGCTCAACGAACACAAAGAAGGTTCATTGTCATCCAACATAGTGCTTTTTAATATCTGCCATAGAATGGTATCTAAAGCATGAAATTGATCTTGTAAAGATAGGTTTCTTTTAAATTTAAACACGCGTAATTTCAGTTGGGAGAATGATTCAAGTGCTATGTTGACTTTTTCCTACCTGGACTATTTTTTAACGAACTACTAAAGAACAGTGGCTAGTTTGGAATGAGACTCTAAAAAGCGCGAGATGAAGATGTAAAAAGATATCGACTTTGTTATAATAATCATAACACACTTAAAAAAAAAACGAGTATGTCAAACTCTTTAAATCGTATGATTCATAATGCAAAATATATTTTCACTAAAAAATTGACGTTAATGAGAGATTTTATTTATTATTTTGAAAAAAGCATTGATTGTAAGCTTTTTGATGATGAAATCAAACTATTCACAAATCTTACGGAGTTTTCAAATGATTCAAATATGCTATTAAGCTTCAAATTTTTATTCCAAATTCTGACGACTAATCGCAATCTTGCAGATGAGACTTGGGCTCAATTTAAAGCTACGATATCTTCTGATATAATTTCCGCACTCTGATCTAACAATTGGATTCTCTTTTTCACTGTACGTGAATAAATTATTTTTTTTCTTGTGGATGAGCTTATCCTACCTTTGAGATTCTTGACCATCTCTCTTTAAAGCGTAAATTTTTATTGATAGTTATATTTGAGTCTATCTTCTATATCTTATAATCATTTCTTCTATTGACTATCATTCAGAATTTTTCTTGTTAGGGTTTTGGCCCAACATTCTGAATCAAATTCAATGAAATTTTTTTCTTAATAAACTATAAAAATATCTATAGATTATATATATAATCTTAAGTTATAAAAACTGACCTAAAATATAAATATAATATAATATGATTTAATATAACAAAATCTTAATTCTCACCCTCAATCAACCATCAAATTACATCTAAAATCACGAAGATAATGATTTAAAATAACAAAATTTGAAATTAAATAAGTAAATGAAAACCTCTCCTGAATTATAGGCCGTATGAGGACTTGGAATAAAACAAAGCTAAACGGTGTACTTCAAAGTAGAGTGGAGTGCTTGGACACTATTAAAAGACATTACTGTAAAATCCCCGTCACTAGAGCTGCGAGCCTGAACGCGGGTCGTTTGTGTTTTGAAGAACAGAGCTTAATTTCTCTTCCACATTATCAACGCATATCACAAGTACTAGCGACTGCAGTCGAACATTATGCTGTATTCATGGGCAATGTCATCGTGGACATGTTCTGATTAAATACTAATATTCGGTAGACTTGTATTTGACATATCGTGAATGTTATGTTCATGTGACATCACCTTAAATCTGTTATAAAAAATATACCTTACTAAAGATTTCGAAAAAAATCTCATCGTGACGATATCTTGGCCTATGTTTATCACATGCAACCTGTAATAGGGCTGCAACATGTGATAGGCACGTATTACCAAAAAGGCAGGTTACTGGTAGTATTCGATCTATAAGTACGAGTAAGAATTTTAGTTCGGTCTGTTCTCCTTTGCGAGTGTTTTGTTTATGTAAGCTCAATACTAGTGAGGTAACATGATTTCGTGATACCTTAAAAATATCCAAGGATTGATTCTTATTTCAGCGCACGTTTATGATGTCGATGCTTGAAAAAATATCATTGACTAATCGTATTCGTGTATTGACACGCATGATTTAATAGTTCCATCTTATCACCGACATCCGTACTCCAGATGCACATTGGTTGCTTGCAAGGGACCTCTAGGCAAACTGACGCTCTGACCCAACACCCATCTCTGTATCTCTTTTGCATTCGGAGTATTACGTTGCTTAATGACTAGATTCCTGCAACAAATTGGAAATGAATCAAGCCAATGAATTCTCAGCCCATAGCTTCCCCAATTGATCGTCATTCACTACAGTATTCAGCTTATGGGTGCTCACCCCCAACCGACGCAGGCACCAAAACCTCAATGCGTATCGTCTAGATGGTCTGAATGGCCTAGAGACGATCTCCACTCAACGATCAATCTAGTAGTAGCAAGATGGCTTCTGTGATGCGTAGAAGGGTTTTATTCCACGGACGAGCCTTGGACATGTCCTTGGGAGTCGCTGGGTTATCATGTGCCTCTAGTTTTACCGCCTCGAAAGCAATATTAGAGGGATTCGGAAGATCTGAGGGAGTTACGGCAGAGGTCACACTGGCTTGTGAGCTATCTATCATTGGTTGGCTCCCCTATTGTGTTAGGCCAGTGAAGAGTGAAGAGTATGACTCTCAACTTCAAGCCCATCTTGTTAATCTGTTTACCTGCTGACCATCAAATACACAGACTGAGAATAAGTAGCTCGAAGATATAGCTTCAGCTGATTTATTTCTTCGCTCCGTATTTAAACAATGCCATTTCCACTTGAAGTCTTTTCCGTCAAAACAACCCATTTCACACGTCCATCTTTCTATCTTTCAACTCAATTCGTGGCATCGGAGATCCAAGCTACTTTATGTTATCGTTGCAATATGGACACTCAGGTACCTTGACAATCACAGTCATGTCCTCGTACAAGCGCAGTCTAGCAAAGTTTATAGATGCCCATACTGCTTCTAAGCCTTACACAAACACATTGCTGAATGCCGACCAGAAAACCGCCAGATCAGTTAGTGAGGTTTGATCGACTGCGAAAGACCTCGCCAGCAGAGCGGGATCCACAGCTGGCTGGGCTCCAAACAGAGTGAGAGGGAGAAATGAGATTCCTGGATTGTGAGAGTTCAGAAAGTTGATTGTCGAAGCATTGATCGTTCCTTTGTTCATCTGGAAATGCACCAGGCCTCTGGGGATAACGAACGCCTCTCCGGCCTTCACCATCCCAGCGAACAGCTTGTTCGGAGCGCTGACGTCGTCACTGTTGGCCACGAATCCGATGTACAGCTCTCCCGCTGTGACGAACACAATCTCAGTGGCCAGGTTGTGAGTGTGTGGCGCAATGACACCACCTGGTATCAAATCAAGGCGCACCAACGCGACTCCGAGCGTGTTCAAAGCGGGCCAATGACGGGCGAAGGCGAGAGTTGCCGCTGCGCCCCAGGGATTTTCATCTGATATGATGCTGGCATCTTTCAAGCCCTTGAAGATGAAGTCTTCTGCCTTGGCTGTTGTGGGATCCTTGCACGGGTAGCCATTAAGAAACGACTTCTGACTAAGATCTGCGATACAGAAATCCTGGAGGGGGTCTGGATCAGCTGCTTGGACAGGACTTGCCACCAGTATGAACATAGTCAATAAAACCAAATGGCAAAATGCAGGTCCCATGATTCGCACAAACCCCATCGCTGAATCCGATGGTTTCCTAAGATTTGAACAAGAAAACTGTCGCAAACTCTAAGCTAATAAAAGATGCAACACAAAATTCTAGTGCGAGGCAAGATTGGGATTGAAAAACACAAAAAGTAGACTTCAATATGACATTTAGAATTTTTTTTTTGGGAGATTGATCAGACTTTGTTATGAATGCTAATGGCAGTCCTATAGGTAAACTGGAGCTGTGATTATGAGCTTAAAGACTTGAGAATTTATACACCATGTTTCTCAGTTTGGGTAGAAGTCAGGGCGGCGATTTTGAAGAAGTCATCGCACCTGCAGTGACCTAGACCGGATCCGCGTCCACAAATCAAGCTTGAGGAGAAGGGCTATCTCATACAGGAATCTCCAGTGCCAAGTAAGCCTTTTGCAGAAGGATGTCACGCAAGTCCAGGTCCACCTGGATGGAGGACTCGAAGACCGTACGAGGCGGTCCAAATCCACTTGAATCAGATGGTATATTCCAGGAACTTCAAGTTGTGCTGTGAGCCTTGGTATCGATAACCCTGGCTAGAGTTTGTGTGTAATTTTTCTAACTTCTCATGAATTCTAGTCTATATGAAGAGCTGTAATGAAATCAAGATAATCCAAGGACCCCATCTAGAGTGGGGTGCATGGAAACCAAAACCTTTTCCCGTACCAGAAAGGCAAGCATGAACCCCTCTTGTAGTAGGCGGTGTTTCTGCAAGATCGAATAAGTGAAGGCAACTGGTTGTTATGGTTGAATTGTTAGTCCATGCATATGACCCATAGCTACAGGAAGAAACCTGTAACGAATCTCGATGGCCTCTGGGGGAGGAGCCCACTTTGTCTTGCACATGAACAACGCATGATCACGTGTGGTAGCGATTGCACTGGAAACTTGTGCCACAATCTTGAGAAGGACTATTCTGAAGATGTGGAGGTCAAAATATATGAGTGTGTAGATTTGCGTTCCTGTTAACATGGTGTATGCGTGGAGATTCTGGATCTGATCCGTAAAAATTCACATCAAAATTAAATCATACAGAAAATATACTAAATACCTTCAAAACTTTGGCGAGTTTTTTTTTTTGAACTTGTCACTGAATATTTCTTTTCTCACCAGAATGTGACATGGTGTTCATTGTCATTTCCTGTCATGTCATCTTTTTAAATCATTTTGCCAGATTCATACATGAAAGTTAGATTGTCTAATTTTTAATATTCTCGAAGAGTTTATTGAAATGAAACAAACGGATCTCATAGCGGCCATATACTGAGTTCCATTAGTGCTGACCTTAAACTTTTTAGTCGCCTTCAAATGCCCTATATTTATGTGAAGATATGAAATTGAATATCAATAACAAGGTAGCTTGCAAGCTCCAAACCTATGATCTATCTGGCCTTCTGTAAATTCAAACAAAATATCCACAATCTTACTTTAAAAATTCATACTTTGTACGAAGGTATATCACTTGTGTGGAATAAGAAAATGGCAAATTCATCTACACTTTCAGCAATGTTATTTAAATTATGGCTGAAATACATAGAAGCAATACAATGCACAAGTATCATAGATTGTCATAGCATCATGTACCAGTTTTAAAAATTTGGATGGTAACGCGATCATCAGAATATGTTATCAATCTGCATGAAGTAAATATAGTTGAATTTAAGTAGGTTAGGTAGATACGTGAACCCATTTTCATTGCTGTTTTTGTAACAAAATGGATATTTATTTAGTATTGACACTTGACGATATGAATGTGATAAACTTAAAGTGAACTACAAGGAAGAGTTGGAAAAGTTGAAATTTAACAATGTGTAAGCTAGCATTGACAGTGTTAGACTAACAATGAACTTAAAAGTAGGGAAAATCATGGAAAATGAGTCATGCCAATACATATTTAGAAACAATAATCAAAATTGTATGGTATAAAACTCATAATTTGTCATCATGGAACAAAGTTGATACTAGATTGTGACAGCCTTGTGGAAAACTGCAATAAAATTATGAAATTACATATTGACAACAACACTCCTGTCATGATGAGAAGATTAAATCAATTCTTAGTTGTGAGCTCAAAAAATTTTGATATAAAATGTCAAATTCAAATTAGGTTTGACAAGTGTGTGGTACCCCACTTTTGGCAATTTTGAGGAAATTAAAACATTTTTGGAAAACTGTACCCTGGCAACATTGTAAATAGCCTTCGGTACATCAAAACAGAGTGAATCCGGAAGATCGCGGGGATTCTCGAGGGATCTTATAGAATCTGGGATTTGGGGTGCCGCAGCAAGCACAGGCACCACCCTCCCTGCGAGTTCCGCAGTTAGGATCTCTACGGCGCAAGGCGCAAAATCCGCCTTCGGAGGTTGCGTCCGCGGCTGTAGGGAAACCCCCCGTAATTAGGTAAACCCTCGGGCGCCTTGACCAAGTTAGGGTCTCGTTGGAAAGAGCTCGACGCGCTGATTCTAACGAGCCCAAGAACGCTTGGAACGGACGAGGACTTAGGGAGTTATCGCTACTGGAAGAAACGGAGGCGGTCGCCTTCGGCGGAAGGATTTCGCCACCGGCGCGAATTCCGCCTACGCGGAAGGGGGAATCAAATTTTGTCCTATGCCGGCCATACAGCCGGCCGAAGCAGAAGGCACGCAGACTGGTGTTGCCAGCTGACAGTGCAGACACGGCGACGATTGCGACGGAGATAGGAAGTGCGTCGCCGGAGAGGCGAGAGGAAGCGCGGACGACCGCAGGAGCGACGGGCCACGCTGCAACCTCGTCGGGAGAGAGGCCGCCTACGGGCCAAGGGCCTCCGGAGTTACCACGTGCGATGCGGACAGAGGTTCCGTTTGCGCACAGGCGAACCTCCGCGGACGGACGAGCCTCCGCGGACCGGCGAACACAAGTGGACGTGGATCTACGCTTACGCGTGGGAAGGAGCAGTCCGCCTGTGCACAGGCGCTCGCCTGTGCACAGGTCGCCTGTGCACAGGTCACCTGTGCACAGAACACCTCCGCACGTGCCGCCTGTGCACAGGCAAGAATCACCCCCGTTCCAACGTAGGAAGGGGAAGGAGCCGGCGGAAGAACCGCCTACGAGACACCGGCCCTCGGGGCCAGACCCTCCGGCGCACCACGCGCCGCAATTCGCGCCTTCGGCGCCAGGGCCTTCGAGCCGAGGGTATACGAGCAGAGATCGTGCGGAGGCCGCACCATCGGCGGGAAGTCCGCCGATAGATGCGCCTTCGGCGGTAGGGCCTATAGGCCGAGGAACATCGGGCGTGCGGCCCCCGGCCATGTCGCCTTCGGCGATAGATGTCCGCGGCGCTACGCCTGCGGCGGACAAGGCGCCGGCAAATGCGCCTGCGCACGGGCCGGGCACAGCCCCCACGGACCGATCGAGGGAGCAGCAGACGGAAGAGCGGAGTGACTGTCCGCGGGACGACATCTCGATGCGCGATGCGCAATCCAACCCCGCGCAGCCACCCTCCGCTCGATCGCCTTCGGCGACGGACGACGGCGACAGAGAGAATGCGGGAGGCAATCAACAAGTAAGCGACGGGGATGCCGCGCGGGTACATTCGCCTTCCGCCTTAGACATTTTGGCGACGAGCAGCGAGGCCGCAGCCGTGCCTTCGCAGGCAGCACACGTCGAGGACGTGCAGCCCCACTCGGGGCAGTCGCCGACGCATTCAATGGCGACTGAAATTCTCCACTCGGATGATGACGACGGAGGCTCCACGGAAGAAATGTCAGGAGCAGGAGACACCGAGGAGGAGGAGGAGGAAATTGTTGGAGCGCCGGCGGCGGCGCTCTCTGAGCAGGTGATTCCGTTGCTGCGTGTGGTAACACACTTTTTGTTTTTTTGCAGAATTTAAACAATTTTAGAAAACTAGTACCAAAGCAGTGTTTGTAGCTAGAGAAGGGTACGCTAAATAGAGTGGATTGATGAGATCGTCACGAGGGCACCAAGAATCACGTAGTCGGATGTACCAACGCCCACGTCTTCGGCGCCCTCGGCAAAGGCTCCTTTTTAAGGTGTCTCTACTCACGCGCCTCTAGCGTATAAGGAAGCTACGCTTCCGGCGCAGACACCTCAGGAGAAGGTTTTGCTAAAGACGTCAGGAGAAGGGCCCGGACCTCTAAAGGCATCCGACCATGAGTGCGCCTTCGGCGAAGCGCCGCTAGCGCGGAAAGGGAAAACCTTCATAACAATCGGGATACACGGTAGATCCAGTTGGTTGAAGTTGCATTAGAAAGAGCTCGGGACGCTCGTTCTAACGAGTCCAAGAGCGCCGGAGATGGATCAGGAATGGAGAAGTTATGAGCGTCGGAAAACTCGTAGCCGGACATGCGCCGTTCGCGCTAGGGTTCACAGCCGGAAAGGATTCCCGTACGCCCTCGGCGATGCGCCTTCGGCGGAATCACGCGCTCACAGGAGGAAACCAACTCAGAGTCGGAAGCGCCCTTGGCGGCTGTTCATGGAAGGAAAGCGCCGGTCGGATGTACGCCTCCGACGTGGCGCTGACGGCCGGATGCGCTGGCATGAGTTGCGCTGACGGATATGCGCTGGCAGCAACGGACGAGGCATAAAGGACAAAATAGGCGGTACGACTGCGCGCCGGCGTAATTCGCTCCGGCTGGATGTGCGCCTCCAGCAAGGCGCCGACGGATAATGAACGCACCAGCGACGACACGCCTCCGGAGAAGGGCGGGTTAGGAAAAGATAACAGGGCCGACGTATACCCTGCAGCGGACTCGAGTCCGGAAGGTGGCGGCGGCGGGAGAATTCAACGTTTCAGCATGCGAATGCGCGCAATGCGGAGACGTGAATTCGCGCATGCAAAGGGCGAACCGTTAAGCCGTATAGCCGGCTGCGTACGTTGCAACCAGTAAGAACGTTGGACGTTCTTGAAATCGGAGAAGAAAAGACTGCGCTCCAGTCTCATTCTCTCATTCTTGACTTTGCAATTTCCAGTTCCAAGATTACGCGCAAGGGCGGAGCG